ATGGAGTTCTTCACATTTGTCATTCAATTTCATCCTATGTATTTCAGACTCTCTCCCTAATTTGTATAGATCACTTTGAATTTTAATACTATCCTCCACAGCAACTGCAACCACTCCCAACTTGGTATTTCCTGTAAACTTTATACATCTGCCATTATCTAAAACCACTGATGAAGACTAACACAACCAGACCCAAAACCAATCCCTGTAGAACCCCACTAGATATGCCTTTCCTGTTTGAGTAAACCCTTGATAACCACTGTCTGGAAACAGTTTTCCAGTCACTTATACACCCATCTTATAGTAGCTCCAACGAGGTTGTAGTTTGATTATGAGAGGGTCAAGTGAGACAGAAGTGGGGCAGTTCTTGCAGCTTGGAGTAGTTTGTATAGTCATAGTCGGTGAGCATAGCATTATAGTTAGCCACCCTTAATAATAGGGTCGCAGAGGAGTATACCTTTCTGCCCGTGAGATCAAGTCTCTTGTGCTCCTCATCTTGGGGAGTAGATCACATGTTCGGCTGTTTGGCCTTGCGTCAACCACCGGGGAGTTAGGTGATGGGTGTGAAAAAAGAAAGTTGATGCCGTTAGGCATGAAGAAGTATTTACAGTCAGCCCTCTTTTTGGTGGGCGCAATCGATGCTGGGGTGTCCATGATGGCCTCATCCATTGCAATCCTTGAAGATGTCGGAGACTGCAATGTACGCAAAAGTCTATACTGTTTTTCTTGTACTTCTTGCAGGTTGCATTCATATGCTAGGGCCGCCCTTTTGAAGAGTTCTTGGAATTATAGTGAATCATCCAATGGTGGCGGAGATGATGGTTTCAACAGGCAATGATGAGCAGTTGTGTGGGGGGAAGGGAGAAATCTATCTTCTCTGATTGTAAACAGTATGTAAAGTTCAGTGCTGTGTATCTGACTACAGGCTGAGGAGAGTGTCATGGTCTCTTGGATGATGTGGAAGAAGTGGTGTGGTGGCTCCGGTGAGGTATCCTAGGGATACCCTTGGCCAGGGTAAGGAGATGGTAGGTAAGGCCAATGGTGGGAGTACCAGGGAAGATGTGGAGGCGGATGTTATGATTTGGAGGAGCGGGATTTCCAAGGAGGGTGTTGCTGAATAGGGCTGGAATGTTGAGAAAAAAATGGCCATGCGGACTGCTGACAGCCTCACTTGGTCAAATAGATGGAACTGGAGACCTTAGCGAATGAATAGAATGCACCATTGATGATGGAGATGGGTGCGCCGATGAAGCGTGAGCTAACATTGCTTTACAGTGCTGTGTGCAGTCAAGCTGCAGTACTGAGGCTGAAAGGGCCATGGTAGGTTCCGCTGATAGCTTCGGAGACCTTGCCTTTGGTGGGAACATGTTGGTGTGGGGTTTCTTAGGTTCTGCATGCGGTGCTGCCTCCTGTGTCATTTTCAGCACAGATTTGTGATATTTAGCCGGCACCATGGATTCAGTTGGTGCCATCAGTGCCAATGTTTTCTGCCTGGGCTCCAAATGAGCTTTCTTCTACAGCACCTAGTGTTTACAAAATGCCATGCCAGAGGTGCCGGGCTTATCAGCTACACTCACTCTAACTGAGCTCTGTGCTGGAGGTAGCAATTATGCCGGTGAAACCCTGGTTTTCACTTTTGATTTATCAGACAAGGTAGAGGGACGGTCTTTGTTCATACCTCTTAATTAGATGGATTCTTTTTTAGGTGAGGAAAGGACGAATCAATGAAGCTCAGTGTGTCGCTGAGGACAGTAGACAAGGAACTGAGGGAGCCGTGCCATGCGCACACCAACAGACATCAACAATATGAGATGGTGCCACAGGGCACACGTAAGCGCAGCAGGACACTGCTAGAAAAATCTCAGGTTGGCGGCGTGAGGATGCGCTAACACCCTGAGTGGAGCACCCATGGAGACATCACTCAAAGAACAACATTGTTTTCTCGTTGCCAAACCTTAAGCTCTAGGAGAACGTCTACACAGCAACATTATTTCAAAATAACATAGTCCATATCTACACAGCAGGTAGTTATTTCAAAATAATGTTGAAATACTGTGTATCTGGAGGATCTCTTACTCCAACTCCTGTAACCCTCATTGTACGATAAATAAGGGAAGTCGGAGAAAGAGTGCCTATTTCAAAATAAGTGCTGTGTAGACGCTCCCAATTTTGAAAAAAGCTATTTCTAAGTAAGCTACACTGGGGCTCTTGTACATTTCAAAGTGAAAGCACCTGCAGAGAGCCCACACAAGAGCCACTGCTAGTCCTTACTGACTAATTAAACAGTCATGGGAAATCCCATCAACTATTTGATTAGTTAATTAGTCAAGATTTAACATCCCTGATCCAGAAAGTAGGCAAAGATAAAAAAATTCAGAAACTTAAAACATCAACAGAGTGGCTAACAACATATTTCAGAAATGTACTGGTACCATTTATACATGGGAAGATTCAATACTTGCCCTAAAGTTAAACATAAACCTTTCAAATTACTGTTTATATGGTGGAGGGGGGGGGGG